GTACCCATTGATCTTTGTATCTCTGAGGCTTACGAAGCACTTGATGTTTGTAAAATAGTTTATTTCTGGTGCCTTTTCACTCCTTGCTATTATGTTGTTTAGTGTTGTGTTTAATTCTACTGGATTTCGTTTGGTTTTTGATAAGCCATTTCTTTCAATTACTTAAAAAGGATTATGGAATGCCTGCTGCATGTCGTCACTGGTTCATTCGTAGGCTCGGACATGGTGACTGTTCTTCCTGAGTTTCCATAGTGAGAAGGCACAGTGGACTTGCCATGTTTGCCTGCAGCCTCCCTGTTGGGAACGAAAGTCTCCAGCGACTGTCCTCCGCAGCCCCAGAGGCCTGGACAAAAGAGCCCAGGCAGGAGACCCTCTGGGGTGGCCTTGCAGTCAGGGGTCGGACTGGGACTCCGATGACACACCATATTGTGAAGGGGGTTAGGGTTTTGAATACTTACAGACCTCACAGGTGTGCATAGGCATACTGGGGGACCCCACACAGGTCCAGAGGCAGGCGGGGAGAAGGAAAGAGGGACCGTGGGCTGGTGCCATTGTCGGATCCAGGGTGTTATCCAGGCAGGTTTCCCCTGGGGAGTTTTAAAACCCAGTCGGCCACCCGGTGACCAAGAGATGGTCACTGTGGCGTATCTTCACAGTCCTCACAGGTGTGAGGGCCACACAGGCTGCATCCGGCTGTCCCCTGGGGAAGTAGCCCCCAGGGAGTGGCTGTTTACAGAAGTTATCTGGATCGACCACACTGGGGAGCGGAGATGGGCGATGCAGAACTGGAAGCCGTGTCCAGGTGGAACGTGGCTTCGGGAATAGCAATGCTACGTAAGTTACAGCACTCCCCACGCTGTGTATGAGCGAGACATCGTCTCCTTTAACCTGATTAACACAGTCGTGTTTGTGTGGTGTGTCCTGCTCACCTGGCCAAGTGGAAGGAGACGCCAAGCGGTGACTCCTGTGCTGCCCGCAAGGCCAGGTGTCATACACATTTGTATGTAAAGGACAGGGATCTAGTAGAACCTTGAAATCTAGAGAGAGGCAGAATTCAGCCCCCGCTCCTTTTGAGACTTTGTCCAACAAGTATAGCCACTGAACTCTCAAAAGGATTTAGGTTACGGTTATTTTACTAAGAAGCCAGCCACATGGCATGGACCCATTTTGTTAAAGGTTTATCAGTTTTTCCTAAAAAGACTGAGCCTCTTGAAGTTGAGCATGCGTGAAGATGTAAGGTAGACTTTGAAATAAATTAGGAAAATGTACAGGTTTCCTTAGGGAACCCTATTTCTGTAGAGAAGGGTCACTCCTTCCCTTTCCTGGTGTCCATGTGGAGAAGGCATTGATCCATTAGAACTAGGAAGATAGACTCGCCTAAGGCTTCCAGTCTCGGGCTCTTACTTTCCACCACTTTCTTTTAAAATCAAGAACCTGGGCTCCATTGGGTTAGAAGAACCCCCACCCCTTCTAAAAGGCACGTGCACCTTCTGGAGGCATCGGGAGCTTGGTCGACGCCTTAGTGACTGTGAAAAGGCCTGTGTCCTGTTCATGATATAGTTCAGGAAACTGAAGTCTGAACACACTGCGTGACCCGTCTGCCCTCCAGTAGGAAGGCAGTGCAGGAAGAAGGGAGTCTCAGCCTCCCGAGCACCTATCTCTGGTGTCCCCGTGCCATGCCCGCATGCTCTCGGAGGCTTCATTTCTGGTCCTCTGCCCCGTCTGTCCTCTCTCTGCCAAAGCCTGTCATCTCCCAGTTCCCTCTCCTCAACGGAGCCCCAGGACCTCCCCCACCCAGGTGGCCCCACAAGGGCAGTCACCTCCCTGCTGCTGCTGCTGGGGGTAGGTGCCACTCCTGAAAGCTCGTGGTCTCCCCTAAGAAGCCCCCCACCTCCCCCAGCCTTCCTCTTGGAGCAGAATCTGCAGTTACTGCAGGGTCATTTTTCTGTCCTTTCAGATGCCCCGCAGCGAGGGAGGGCGTGAGTGCGTTGTGAGGGTGTCCACCTGCCCCGGCCTTCTGCGGTCCTCCTCCTCAGCACCATTCCTTCCTCCTTTGTGCCCCCACCGGCCTTGTCCTGACGTTGTTGTTGCTGTTCCCTTGTTTTGTTCTGTTTAGCCTTTGGAAGGCACATCTCTGAAAGTCGTAGGGCAGCTTCCCACCAGAATCTCCTCACACTGTCACCTCCTCTCCTCACCTCCACCTGCAGTGGAAGGTTCTGGTTGTCAGCGGGAAAATATCAGTAAAGTTACGCAGAACTCAGGTCGCATTTTCACTCCCGTAGTGTTTATAGGCTTAATCCTAGAACTCTGAAGCCAAGGTCATAAGCAGATTTGCCCTTAGAAGGTTCCAGATTTCTCGTGACTTTTTCCTTTCCCTATGATAGCACTTTATCCTACAATCCTATCTGTGGAGCAGAAGTGGAACATCTGACATGCCTTTCTCTGGAATGTGCCAGGCTTAGGTGGAGAACCCAGTAGGCACTGACTCCAGAGCCAGGTGGCTGCCCGCTTCCACTGGGCTGGGCTGTGGTGGCTCTTTGCAGGGAGCCACACAGGAGGTGGGAGGCAGAAGGCAGCCACCAGCCAGAGCCAGTAGAGACCAGTCTGCCTGCAGCCTCGGATGCAGGGGTGACCAGCCTCATCAAGAGGGTAGAGGGTGGAAATGGCACAGGAAGGACACTTCCTCTGGCCCCAAAAGTGCTGTTAACTAGCCAGAATGTACCTGTCTGGATGCTGAAATTAACACCACGTTTGCCTGTGGGTTTATCCTTCTCAGTTCCTCTGGGAGCCCTTCCAGACACACCCGTTCAGACACACCTTGAGGAAGTTGCAGGTTTTGCTCACTCTGGGTTATCTAAATCACACCTGGTCATTCATTCTCGTAAAATCTAGAACATGATTTATTGTTTCTTTATTGTAATTTTCACAGGGTTTTAAAGTAGAAATAGTTTTGTTGCAAATACAAATATTTCTCTCAAGCATATGCCAACACATCGAAATATAAATTCAGAAATCTGTGTTATCTCTGTGTTTACCTATGTTCGATATTAAAGACTGAATTAATATTTTTATTACCATTTTTTATTAAATCATAGCTGTGTACATTAATGCAATCATAGAGTACAATGTGCTGGTTTTATATATAATTTGAAATGTTTTCATCAAACTGGTTAACATAGTCTTCACGGCATTTTCTTAGTTATTGTGTGAAGACATTTATATTCTATACCTAGTAAATGTCACATGTACCCTTGTACGATGCACCGTAGGTGTTCACTCATGTTCAATATTAAAGACTGAATTAATATTTTTATTACCATTTTTTAAATTTGAAGATACTTATTTTAAAGTAGTATATAAATTTTCCTATTTAGTATTGTAATATGTATGTAATTAATAAGCTAAATGCCTAAGTAGACCACACAAAATACCTAGGTTATTGTGCAGTTACCAGTTCTGTACAGAAATCTGGGTCATATGATCAGAGTGCCTTAAAACATCATTATGTTAAATGTGCTGTATTTATTTTCAGAGGCTATTCTTCCTAATAGATACGTTCTGTGGCCTTCTCTTTTTCTCATCGTCTAAATTTTAGGCATTCAGTAGAGTGACTGCGTGAGTGTGTTTATAGTCCTGTACTATGTAATTTCATAGTCACCTTTAAGTAATATTTTTCATTAATAGAAAGCATTTTATATCTGTACAGTTTTTCATCTTTAAGTAATATTTACGTACCCCCAATGCAGTAGAGAAATACTTGGTTTTTCCTTCCTTACACCGAAGGAAAAAGAATTTTAAAGAAAGAAATCAGTGCAGGCGAGGTGGGGTTCAGAGGGGCCTCTCACCTCTCGCCCTTGGTTGAGTAGTTGTGCCGGGAAGGAGGTGCAGCGGGTTTGGCGTGGGCGGGCCCAGGGAGGTGGGCTTGGCCTGGGAGGAGGGCAGAGGGGAGGTTGCAGTTTGCTTGTCTGGTGCTCCTGCGGCCAGTCACCTGGAGTGGGCAGGGACCTCTTGACATCACTGGGCTGACGTGATTGAGTCAGAGCACTGAGAAGACAAAGCCCTTCTTCTTTTTTTTTTTTTTTTTTTTTTTGAGACAGAGCCTCAAGCTATCCCCCTGGGCAGAGTGCCGTGGCATTACAGCTCACAGCAACCTCCAACTCCTGGGCTCAAGCGAGTCTCCTGCCTCCGCCTCCCAAGTAGCTGGGACCACAGGCGCCCGCCACAACGCCCGGCTATTTTTTGGTTGCAGCCGTCATTGTTGTTTGGCGGGTCCGGGCTGGGGATTCGAACCCACCACCTTAGGTGTACGTGGCTGGCGCCTTAGCCAGTTGAGCTATAGGCGCCGAGCCACAAAGCCCTTCTTCTTGCCACACTGACACTTGGTACATCTCTGTCCCCTAGGCCATTCTCTCTGAAGGTGATAGAGCAATGTGCCACCCTGCTGGTATGCCACCCAGCCCATTCTCAAAAACCCCTGAATCCCAGGGAATCCCGTGCCTTCTTGCTCATCTTCCCCTGCCTGCTGAAGCCAGCAGACAAGTCCAGGCAGGGTTTCCATGACAAGGGGTGGCTGTGGCAGGTCAGAGCAGAGGAGTTCGGCCTCCCAGGCCTCTCCTGGGTCCTCCGTCTCAGCCTGTTTTCTTATGACATCCTCACTTAGAAGTTGCTTCTAAAGAGGGAATTGTAAGTGTACCCCTGCCGACACACACTGAAGAAACTTCTTTTATGATCGGAGAGGTGACCGGAACAAGATTAAGATGGCATGCACCAGGAAAAGGGTTGGCTTCTTCCCAACATGCACCAGGGAAATGGTTTCTTCACACCATAGCCGGTTTTCCTACTTTGCTTTTATGGATTATTTAAGTTTATAAAATCAGTAATCTTTCCCATTTCCAGAGAAGGGTGGATTTTTTTCCTTCTTTTTTTCTTTTTTGAAAGTAAGCGACTATTTTTCTCTTTTGCTAATTTTACAGTGCTAACTTTGGCTCTGTTTCCATTAGGAGATGAAAGCATGGAAATTAAAAAACAAATTACAGGAATGAGAAGATTGCTGAATGACAGTGCTGGGAGGATATACCAGCGAGTTGGCAAAGAAGGAGAGAAGCTAAAAGAAGAGCCCCAGGACGTGGACTTGGTCTGGCCTCCACGTCTGAACTCGTCCGCTGAGACGCCCCCGAGCCTCCACCCGTCCACACGTGGTGCATGGAACGAGCTACCGCCCCAAAGCGGGCAGTTCTCAGGGCAGTACGGCACCCGTTCTAGAACCTTCCAGAGCCAGCCCCACCCCTCTGCAAGCTCCAATGGTAGGATCATCATCAGACATTCAGATGCCCTTGTGGGGGGTTGTACTGGCATGTTTCATTTCTAAATATTCAATATGTTCTTTGAGTTCAATTTATTAAACCCTTCCCTACTTGTGTGTGTGGTTGTGAGACAGGGTCTCATTCTGTCACCCAAACTGGATGCAGTGATGACAGCTCACTGTAGCCTCCACTTCCTAGGCTCAAGTAATCCTCCTGCCTCAGATCCCTCCTGGGACTATAGGCGCACACAGCCACACCCAGCTAATTTTTTTATTTTTTATAGATATGTGGGGTCTTGCTATATTGCCCAGGCTGATCTTGAACTCCTGGCCTCAAGTGATCCTCCTGCCTCAGATTTCCAACGTGCTGGGATTATAGGTGTGAGCCACCACACCCAGCCTAAACCCTCCCTTATTCACCTTCTTTTAAAAGGCAGGGAAGACATAAATGAAAAAGTTGAAGAGTATTAAAAAAAGAACAGAATGGAGAATCGGGAAACACTGGGGGAGCTTTCAGTGTTATCAATGACGATTTCCTAGTAGAGATTTCAACTCTTTAAGAAGTTGAAGCTGTCAGGCGGCACCTGTGTCTCAGTGGGTAGGGCGCCGACCCCATATACAAGGGCGGCGGGTTTAAACCCAGCCCCGGCCAAACTGCAGCAAAAAAATGGCTGGGTGTTGTGGCAGGCGTTGAGTCCCAGCTACTCAGGAGGCTGAGGCAAGAGAATCGCCTGGGCCCTGGAGTTGGAGGTTGCTGTGAGCTGTGATGCCACGGCACTCTACCGAGGGCAATAAAATGAGACTCTATCTCTACAAAAAAAAAAAAAAAAAAAAGAAGAAGAAAAAGAGCTTGAAGCTGTCATTTGCCTGAATACAGATGTTACCATCACTAGAGGCTGAACATTAGGGCTCCCTGTGACCAGGACGCTCCCGTCCTGGTCAGACGGGACCTTGTTAATACGTCCTCTTGCTTGCTCCTTGGCTTTTCTTGTTATCACCAGAGTCCCAGGTAAAGGGAAGGCTGGTAACCCCGTATCCCAGACCCCCACACCTCGGCTTCAGCCGCCTGTTCTAGTACTGAACAAATGATCCCCATTTTATAACTTGCTTCATTTGCAATGAAAACTATTTCTTGGCTCGGCGCCTGTGGCTCAGGCGGCTAAGGCGCCAGCCACATACACCTAAGGTGGCGGGTTCGAATCCCCAGCCCGGACCCGCCAAACAACAATGATGGCTGCAACCAAAAAATGGCCAG